GAATTATTTGTCTGGATATGCATGCCTGGGCCCTGTTCTGTCTTCTAATTTGCTATTCTTTTGATATTATTTATCTGGCATTGCTATTGCTTTCTGTCTGCCACTTTGATGTTCCTATATGTACTGTACTTTTCTGTGTATAACACGCCCCCTTGTATAAGACGCCCCCTATTTTGGGGGACTCAGAATTCAGAAAATGTTGAGCTTTTTGAGGGGGAGGATGACCCAAAGTTGCTGAACTTTTTTGGGGGGGGGGATTGACAAAGGTTTTTTTGGGGGGTTGGGGTTTTTTTTTGGGGGGGGGAATGCAGTAAATCTCTGATCTGACCGTTACAATCACTCGTGTCGCTCACTAACAATCACTCGCGACTGCAAAACGCATCGGCCCACTTGCCAGCAGTGGAAGGAAAATGAAAGCCCAATTGCCACAGTGGCAGCAAATCAACAACTGCCCTTGACACAGCAACCAATCACACACACATTGAACGCAGCATCAGCCAATACAAAGCAGCCTTTGCCACAGCCACCAATCATACACCAAATTGCAAATGACAATCTGCAGCTCGAGGCTGCAACCAATCACCCATCATCACTACCCACTACCTGTGTATAAGACACCCCCAGTTTTTTTACACTAGTTTTCAGTAAAAACAGCAACACTTATATGCGGAAAAATATGGTGTATGTCTGTGTGCGCACATACTACTTTTTACTTTTTACCCTAAATCATCTTGAAGCCGTTTGGTGATTGCGGTGGTATACTTATAACTGTCTCAAGGCAAATCTGAAAAAATGTAGTATAAAGACTGACAACTGGGAAATACTGGCCTGTGAGTGCTCCAGTTGGAGAACAGCCTTTCCCAAAGGTGTCATGGGCTTTGAAGACACTCGAACTCAGGACGCAAGGGAGAAACGTGCTAAGAGGAAGGCACGCTTGGCAAATCCACACCGGGATCAACTCCCGCCCGGAAACCAATGTCCCCATGGTGGAAGGATGTGTGGATCCAGAATCGGCCTCCACCGACACTTATGGACTCACTGTTAAAACAGTGTTTATGGAAGACAATCTTACTCGGCTACGAGTGAACGCCAAAGAAGAAGAAGATACTTATAACATTTATTAGAAGGGAAGGGGACTGAAGGGCCACGTAATACAAATGAGGTTGGAATCCTGTGCCCACTTACCAGGACAAAAGCTCCACCAATCTCAGTGGAACTTTCCTTCCTTTGCAGGTTTGCGGTGCTATCCTGCTTTTGCTAAAAATAGGAAGGGGGTTCTCTAAAGGGCCCTGACCTCTAAACACTAGAAATCTTGCTTGTGCACCCCTTTGGCTTCCGCAGTTTCAGCTGGAGTGGCCCACACATGTTGAAGCATATCCTTACGTCAATGAGGTCTAGAAGCTTGTTTCTTATTCCCGAAAGCAAAGATCCTTGGGGAACAGAACTCTGCATCCAGCTTCACATGCTGTTCTTCCTGTAGAAAAAGCAGCATAAAGGAAATATTGCTTGCATCACGTCGCTCCTGTTATTTTCTCTTCATTTCTTTGCACAGCACACGATCGGCTTCCAAGGTGTTCATAAGAGGCCATAAAAATGAAAAATTAGAGTTCTCTTCACGGTCCCAACACAACCGTAATAAATTTGATTGTCTGTGTTCCAGTGGTGGGTCCTTTGGCCTTCTCTCCGAACAGCCTACGTACGTTAACAGGCTGGATTTCTGCATCTGAGCTTTGCACAGAAGTTACGCAACGTCCCCGGGCAGTGCTTAAAGCTGGAAGAATGAGGTGATGATAAATGTCGGGAATGACAGGATGGGGAGGGAAATGGCGCTTTGGTGTGGGAGCCATTGGAACGTCCACAGGCTAATTACATTTAGGACACAATCCTCTCCTGAAGAACTGGACGGCCGAAAGGGGCTCTGGGACTCATCAGTAGCCACAGATCTCATGCTACACCGCATGTGGATATTGAAATACTTTATTGTCTCTTGTCCAACTTGTATACAGTGAGATTACACGAGCACCCCCCACTCAGCTCTCTTAGTCTTAATTCCCCTCGTTTACTGACGCACACCCACCAAACCCGAAAGTTCGTTGCCCTGTTGTTATCTTTTCATTCAGCAGCCTAACAGCCCATGGATAGAAGCTGTTCTTTACCCTGTTGGTGCAACTAATCATGCTTCTATATCTTCTGCCCGAGGGCAGGAGATCAAGAAAGTGCCGGCCAGGGTGTGAATCATCCCTGAGAATTTTCCTCACTCTCCTGAGGCAACGTTCTTCCGCTATTTCATCCAGCGGATTCACGGGACAGCCCATAATATCTTGTGCTGTATTCACCACCCTCTGTAGGCACTTCCTATCAGATGATGTCAAACCTGCGTCCCACACCGTGATGCAGTAGGAAAGGACACTTTCTATTGTGGACCGGTAGAAGGAGATCATCAGATGTTGATTGACGTCGTTCTTCCTCAATACTCTGAGCAGATGGAGTCTCTGTTGGGCTTTCTTAACCACCTGGGTTGTATTGATTTTCCAAGTAAGGTCTTCACTGAGATAAACTCCTAGGAATTTAAAGGAAGAGACTCTTTCCACACAGCCCTCCCCGATGTACAGCGGGGCTAGTTCTCCTCTCTTCCTCTGAAAGTCCAACACCATCTCCTTTGTCTTGCTGATATTCAGGTGCAAGTTGTTCCCTAGGCACCATGTAGATATTTTTTGGACCTCCCCTCTATATGCTGATTCGTCTCCACCTTGACATGACACAGATTTCAGCAGAAGTCTTCCGATAAGCCAATACTCTCCTTTGGTGGGGCCATTCGTCAGATAAAAATATAAGCCCCGATTGTGGGTTGTGGAGGTACTTCCAAGGATACTGTGGGAACACCAGGCATTTGGGCCTGAATTTCTGTACTTTCTGTGACTTTCCTCATTCGCCTCCCAGACTACGACTGCCAGGCCATAAGCATCCCTCACCCTTTCAGGGCCTGAAACTGTGACTTAGGGGTGGCCCCTGTTGATGTCATGGGAGAGGTGCTGGGGAAGGGCCCTAGAGACGGAGGCTAATGTCAGGTCAGCAATAAAACAATAAAGCATCCGATGCCAGTGAAGTTAACTCTTTATTCAAGGAAACAAAACAACGTAGTCCTCGTGGTTGCAGAAACCCTTCCTAGTACAGTGGTACCTTGGTTCTCAAACGCCTTGGTACTCAAATGCCTAAGACCCGGAAGTAAGTGTTCCAGTTTTCAAACATTTTTTTGGAAGCTGAACGTCCAATGTGGCTGTCAGCTATTGTTTCCAGGGCACCTGCACCAATCAGAAGCTGCATCTTGGTTTTCGAACATTTGGGAAGTCAAACAGACTTCTGGAACGGATTAAGTTTGGCACTTTTGCTATTTATTTTGCGTTTTTGAGGGGTTTTGGGGTTAATTTGTTTTTGTGACTGTGTGGAACCCAGTTCAGCTACTGATCGATTGATTGTGTGACTGCGGAAATGGATAAAAGCCCCCCATCCAAACAAGGGCCATCATCAGCGCAGGTAAGAAAAAAAAAAATTATTTTTTATCATCTACAATACTGTCTTATTTATTTTCTAGTACAGTCCATTGCTTATTGCTTTCATTTTATGGACCAGTGGTCTCATTAGATGGTAAAATTCATGGTAAACTGCTGCTTTAGGGGTTGTTTTTAAAAGTCTGGAACGGATTAATCCGTTTTGCATTACTTTCTATGGGAAAGCTCACCTTGGTTTGGGAACGCTTTGGTTTCGGAATGGACTTCCGGAACGGATTAAGTTTGAGAACCAAGGGACCACTGTAAGTCTTGCCCTAAGGAGGTACTTGCAAAGACTTCCCACCACTCTCTAAGGCTCCTCCTTGGTTCCTTCCCCAGCAGCCTAAGGTTTCATCATCTTATCTCTCATTGCTCCACCCTCTTTATACCACTTCTGGTCCTGGGAGACCATGGTGGAAAGGAGCTGGTTGCAGCAGGAGGGGAGACTCCCTGGACTCTTCATCAGCCCGCCTCCTCTCCTGCCTCTGGTTCTGAATTGCCCTCTGCCACAGCCTCTTCCTGCTCACTAAACCCTGTTGCCTCTTCAGCTTCCAATACCTCCTCCTTCCAGTTTGCTCCCGCTTCTCCCTCTGACCACTCACTGTTGTCTCACCACCACTCCCCTGGCTCTGAGACATCTTCCACTGGGGATTCCTTGGGGTTTCCCCAGCTGATGCCTCCTACCATTCCTCTGCATCCAGCCTGTCCATGATAGTTAATTGAGAGAGGGCGAGCGGAGGATTCCCTGCTGTGTCTGTGCTATATTTTGCAGCCAGCTCATGCCGGGATGAAGCTTGCAAGCTACATGCGCAGTCTTCTTAAGAATGTTTCTATTCGAGGCACTGCAGCTGCCTCCTGGAGGGGGGCAGGCAAACCAGGAGACTTCAGGCCAGACCTGGAAGGCTGGCAACCCTGTCCCAGACCACTCACAATTTGGATATGGCAGCTGTTCTGCCAGGGTAGGAACTAGTGGAGGCTAGTCCATTGGGGCAAACGGGGTCATCATCCCACCAACCTTGCTCTGTCCTCATCTGTCTGCCTCCACTGCTGGTTCTCCCCTCCTGTGGGTCTCCTTGCACTGAGCATCGCAAGCAGCAGCAACATCTCTCAGACACTGGTGAGCTGCAGGTACAGGATTTCTCTGCCCAGGGAGAAGCGAAATGCGCAAAAAAATAAGGTCCATTGCATAACGAATGATGATTTTGCAGCTTGCCGAAGTACATCCCAGGTCTTTCGGAGGCAAAGGGGGTGGGGAGATGAAGTGAAAAACAAAAATTATTGCTGACATCCACTCGAAATATGTGAGATACCAAACTAATTGTGGCCAGATGTTGCATGGGAGAGAGTAAGAATATGGGAGAGAGCGAGAGAGAGAGCGAGAGCGAGAGAGAGAGAGAGAGAGAGAGAGAGAGAGAGAGAGGCTATTTTCTCTTCCAAAAGCTTCCAATGATAGGAGAAGACCATAGCTCAGTGGCAGAGCATCTGCCTTGCATGTAGAATGTCTTGGGTTCAGTTCCTGGCATCTCCAGGTTGACTGAGGAAAGACTTCTTGTTTGAAACCCTAGGGGTATCAGTGTAGACCAGGGCCCCCAACTTTTTCAGGCCAATGGGCTCATTTGGATATTTGAACGAATGTTGTGGCCACACACCCCCAATCATTTCTCTCTCTCCTGGATCAGCCACCCTCTTCCCCGAGACACAGAAAGTGCGCATGCACAGACATCATTTGTCGAAGGAATACGGGTATACTTCAGATCTAGCAGAATTAACCTGAGCCCCGAGAAGCACATAGAGATGGAAGAGGAAGTGGGAATAGAGCGTCATTTTTCTAACTTCCTCTTTCAGCTCCATGTGCTTTTCAAGGGAGACGTTCTCACCACCTCTTAACCAAGAGGGTAGTGAGTATGTGTTTGTGCTCAGAGGTTTTGCAAGAGACCATGGCAAGATCTCCTGGGCACCACTGAACCCATAGGTGCCAAGCTGGCCAAGCCTGGTACAGACATTACTGAACAGATGGAGGAATGGTCTGACTCAGTATAAGGCAACTGACTAATGGCAAAGCGGGCAAGGCGGTGTGGTTGCTTGCAGAATGCTCTGGAGGTGTTGCCGGGAATCTTTGTTCCCGCTTGTGGGCTGCGTCGCCGCAAAAAGCTTCCTCCATCCTCTTTTCTTCTCCCCATTCAGCTTACTCATCTGCAGAGCTGGCACTTATTTTATTTGCTTATTTATTTTGATTTATAGGAGAGCTGAAACCAATTTGGGAACATAATATGCTCGGGCAAATCCTCCCCAAATTGAATCGGCTGGCAATGTTTCAAGCTTAGATTCCTCCGAAAATCAGCTGAGGCCTGCGGTGGCTCTCTAGGACTCTACCAATTTAGGCAGCCGTCGAGGGGTTGTGGAATTGCATATATATATTATCCCCACCTATAGAAACCTAGCACTTCAGGATTTGAGCATAGCCGTCTCTCTGATGCACTAGTGGCTATTAAAAAAATAAACAGAGGAGCTCTGTGATGTGCTATCTGTCACCATAAGTTTGAAATCATTCCAGAACTGCTTATACAATTCACAGCTTCAAGGTGTCAGTAGAAAGCCCAATACATTTATCTCCTCCTTCTCCTCGTCCTCTTTGTCCTCCTCCTCTTTAGACCCCTCATTTGCCCCAAGGAGTTCAAGGTGGTGTACCTGGTTTTCCCCACCTTCATTCTATCATCAGAACAACCCTGTGTGATAGGTTAGGCTGAGAGGCAGTGGCTGGTCCAAGGTCACTCAGTGAGCTGCATGGGGATTCGAGCCCTGGTCTCCCAGCTGCTGCTCCAAAGCCACTTCCTCCCTGCAGAGGTGGTGGGGTTGCAGGCTTCACACCCCCACCATGCGTGCGCGTGGCTGGAGCCCAGCCCCTGCGCGATTGGGGGAATCCTGGTCGCTTCACCCCCAGGGCCAGCCAATCGACTGGCTCTGGAAGCGTGGTCTGCCCTATTTAAGACACGACGCGGCCGGGGATCTCCATCTTTTGCCGCCCACCAGCTGTTCCTGCTTTTCCCACCCTCCCGCCCTATAAGCTTTTCGTTCCTTGACCTTGCTATGGACCTTGGTTGGTCGCCATTGAGGGGCCTGGTAGGAATTTTTCCACTTGGCAAATTGGCACCAGCCACTTAGTTTTTGCCTACCTCGTAGCAAATCATCACAACTTCCTCGATATTGGCGGTTAGGCATTGCTATTGTTTTGTAGATGGAAGAGGGGAGGAAGCGCCATCACCTGCCCCGCATATTGAAGGGTAGCCCAATAAAGGATTCCGGGGGGCGTGGCCCTGTCCAAAGCCTATGGAGGTGAGGGCCTAAGGCATGCCCCCTATCGGTGACCCCGGGGGAGTTCCTAGTTGATGTGCATCAGCAGGACTCCCCCTACTGGTGGTTAACCCTTCCCGGACTGCAAGAGGACGGGCTGAAGCTGGATAGACGGTTAGGACCAATGCCTAAGCCAATACTGCTCATCACCTGTAACCAATAAAGTTGTGGCTTTATTTAGTCCATTAACCTTAATAATTGTATCATGTGTCTTTATTTCCATGGGGGGGGCGGGAACTCGCCATGCAACACTTTAATTGCTGCACCACACTCACTTATTTGGATAAGGTTAAGGCTACAGATGGTTACTAGGCATTATGGCTATGTTCTGCCTCAACCGCTAGAGGCAGGGAATCACACGTGGGGAGAGGGCTGTTCTGCTCATGTCCCACTTGTGAGCTTCCAATAGACATCTGGTTCCTTGGAGGTTTTAAAACAGAGGTTGGAGGGCCATGTGCCATGGCTGCTTTAGCTGAGATTCCTGCATTGCAGGGGGTTGGACTAGATGACCCTTGGGGTCCCTTCCAACTTGACAATTCAATAATAATAATAATAATAATAATACTTTTTTATTTATACCCCACTCTTCTCGGTTCAAAAACCAGGCTCAGGGCGGCTAACAACAAATTTAAAACACTTAATTATAAAAGCAGCATAAAATACAGTATAAAAACATGAATAACAATAAAATTCAAAATTCAAAAATCAGTTAGATAATCCCCAGGGCTGGCTGGCTGAATTGGTCCTACTTGGGCCAGTGAGGAGGCCAGGGGAGAATTAGCTGTGGGGTCTCAGAGCGGGCGATCTTCATAAAAGGTGAGGGGTAAGGGAAGAGAAGGGAAATAAAAGATCAGGCTGAATTCAAATTAAAGGCCAGGCGGAATAGCTCTGTCTTACAGGCCCGACGGAAGGAGGTTAAGTCCTGAAGGGCTGTAGTCTCATGGGACAGAGCATTCCACCAGGTCGGAGCCATCACTGAAAAGGCCCTGGCCCTGGTGGAGGATAGTCTGACTTCCTTAGGGCCGGGACCTCTAAACTATGGTTAGCCACTGTATGGTTGGCCACTGTGGGAACAGGATGCTGGACTAGACGGCTCCCTTTTCACCTGATCCAGAACTGATTTTCTTATGATGGACCAGGACCTGGGAGACCAGGGTTCAAATGCCTACTTGGCTATGAAGCTCTCTAGGTGATTTGGTGCCTTGAAATACGCTGGAGAAAATTTGCAATAAATGCAATGCAATGGATGGATGAAAGCAGAATGGAAAATTTTCCATCCGATTCCTCCCCAAATTAATGCAGATGCTTACAGGGTTACAGTTGGAAATAATCAAGGACAAAATAATAACGATCAAGAAAACGTTCCAGGATTTTCCAAGGTTTTCAAGGAAGATTTTATTATTATTATTATTATTGTCCCCCACCCTCCTTGGCAAAGGCGCACAGATATGCACAGACCCCAAATAAAAACAGAAGTTGTGGGAAAATGTGAATCGCTGACAGGCACGACTCAGCTATCAGTACCCAACCCAATCATGTCCTTGGCCCCAGGAATAATATGTAAAGCAGATGGGCTCTGACATGATCATGTTTGCAGGCCGGCAGCTGGGAAAGTAATATATTGAAGCTCATATCCAAAGTGCTGGCAGCAGTACTGCCAGACTTCATTTGGAGCAGAGGCTGAACAAAAAAGACTCATTGGAGGCAGAAACTAGCCGTGTTGTAAACTGATATTGCAATGAATTTCTGAAAAGGCAGAAAAAAAGCCATCGGAGGAACAGAAGCAAACCATAAGAGTGTCTGGATCAAGCCAATGGCCCTTTTAAGTCCAGCATCCTGTTCTCACAGATGCCCCCAAGGGAAATTTGTGCACAAGGGGCATTCTAGCTACCTGTGGTTTTAAGTCAAATTATTGTGGCGCCATCATCCATATCATATCATCTCTATGCCACGAATTCATATCTGTCTGTCTGTCTGTCTATCTATCGATCTGTGCAGTGCCGAGGGCCTTCTGGTGGTTCCCTCCCTGCGAGAAGCGAGGTTACAGGGAACCAGTCAGAGGGCCTTCTTGGTAGTGGCACCCGCCCTGTGGAACATCCTCCCACCAGATGTCAAAGAGAAAAACAACTGGACTTCCGGTCGGCGCCAGCGGGACTTCCGGTCGGCGCCAGCGCTTAATGGCGGTCCTCCCTTCGAGCTCCGGAGGAGGACTGCTCCGCGAGTTCGGGTCTGACCTGCTACGGCGAGCGGGGGACCCCTAAAATCACAGGCGCGGAAGCCTGTGAACAAGGAGACTCGGTGGGCACCTTTGCGCCCCGGTACTGTGAAAGAGCCTTTTAAAGGCTACGGAGCGGCATCGGGGTGAGCGCGGTGCTGAGAGTCGCAACCCAGCCCGTGGAGTGAAGCCGCGTCGCCATGAGCGGAGAGCGCCGATTCCTTCCTGAACCAGAAATTCGACTCTAAAGCCCGTGAGTAAGACGGAGGGACTGAAAGGGACATTTAAATTTAAATCTTGAAATTTGGCTGAAAACGGGAAAGGCATAAATTAAGGAAGTCTGCCTCCCGATCTGCATGGCAAGTAAAGCAACGAAAGAGTAAAGCTGCATTTGAAAGAAAATTACCTTTAAGCTGTCAAACCTGACATTTGACTTAAACCTCCCCCCCAGTAAGCAGGAGAGGGGGGGAAGAAAATTGGACACTGTTAACCTGCTTGAAATTAAATGAGGAAAAAAACATCGTCCATTGCCAAACCCCCAGGACGGACTGCCTGAGTAAGGCACCGGCAAAGTGAACTGTCAGTTTAGACTGGATACAAAGTTGGGGTCTTGTCTGAGACAAAGTTACGGGACTTTAATGGAATTACTTTGTTGAACTTGTGATTTACTGAAAAAGTGCGACAGAAACTTTTACTGTGGACTCTTGGACTTTTTTTGTTGATTGCTCTGTGCTTCCTTGTTTTTTCTCTTTCACTTGGATACAATTAAATGCTCCCTCTAGAGGGTATAAAGAGAAACTGTTACAGTGAAAAAGAAACAGTGGGATTTTCCACTTGCAAGTTTTTCCTGTGAGAACGACCTTGAGGATATGAGTGGCCCAGCAGAAGAGATAACAACTAGATCCAAAGCAAAACAGACACAAAAGAAAAGGGGCTCAATACCCGGCATACCACCAGCTGCACAGGAAAAAGTGGCAACAGCATCTATGGATTCAATGACACAGGCACTGCTCAAAATAAACCAATCTTTAGAAGCACTGACAAAGCTATCTACGGAAAATTCAAAAAATTGACAGAACTGACAGCAAGATTGGACTTGAATACTGCAAGTGTAACATCTAATACAGAATCTATTAATAAACTAATTCAAGAAAGTTCTGAAACACGAAAGATTGCTGAAAGTGCAAAAAATACTGCGGAGGAGACAAGGCAGGAGCTTGTGCCGATTACAAAAAAAAGTGAATGAACATGATGCAGCTCTATCTTTGTTGGAACTACAGAGAAAAGAGAGAAATTTGAAATTGAGATTGGTTCCCGAGAGTGAGGGAGACAGCCTTGTGGATTTTCTTACACAGAACTTTATGGAATTCTGGCAAGAGGAGCTGCAGGAAGAAGAACTTGAAATAACAACAGCTTTCCGGCTCGGCAGGAGGCAGGGTAAGAAGCCAAGGGATTGTTTGATCACATTGAGATCCAAAGGAGAAAGAGATAAGATATTGAATTTGCATTATCAAAAGGCATTGGAGATTGAAAATAGTCAAGTACAAATTTTTAAAGATATCCCTAAATATATTTTGGAGGTGAGAGCCTTCTATAAAGATTTGGTCTACCTGCTGAAGAAAAATATCATACCCTTCAGGTGGGAGTTTCCACAAGGATTGTCTTTTACTTTCAAAGGAAGGAAGGTTAAAATAAGAACAGTTCAAGATAAAGAACAGTTTCTGGAGAGATATCAGGAGGACTTGCAGAAAGGAACAGTAGAAACAACAATACAAGAAAAAGGAGTGACAGACATTGCAAACTTGTCATTTGGACTCATACCATCATCTGAAGAGGAACAAAAGCTAGGAGCAGTCGGAGGAACAGGTACTTAATAACAAAATGTCTCTGCAACTTCTTAGCTGGAACTGTAATGGTTTGAACCTTCCCGAAAAAGACGCCAAGTTTTTCATATTTTGAAAAGAGAACAATTAGATCTAATATGCCTACAAGAGACTCATGTGACCAGGACACATCGGAAATTATTGGTAAATAAGAGACTTGGACAAGAATTTATTTCATCAGATAAAGTTAAGAAAAGAGGCGTGGTGATCTATGCAAAAGAAAAATTGGCTCCAAAGATGATATTTAAAGATGAACAAGGAAGATACCTGGCAATTGAAATACAAGTTCAAGGAGAAAAATTTTGATAGTTGGAATCTATGCACCAAATGATGGGAAGGCGGAATTCTTTAAGAAGTTGCATGAGACTTTAATGGACTATTTAGACTACAGAATTATAATGATGGGAGACATGAATGGCGTAGTTTCCACAAATATGGACAAAGCACAGAGACAAGTAATTTCCAAGGAAGGGAGACTACCAAAGACTTTTTTGAAATGACTGAAACTATGGACTTGATTGACATTTGGAGAACAAGGAACCCTCTTGAGAGAGAGGGAACTTTTTCTCTGAAGCAAAAATGACATGGACAAGAATTGACCAAATTTGGGTAACTAGCAGTATGGCGCCAAGGATTAAAAAGGTAGAAATCTGCTCAAAGACTTGCTCCGACCATAATGCTGTAAAGATGGAGATGAAACTAACAACAACTGGATCCTTCAGATGGAGAATGAATGACACCCTATTCAGAGATGAAGAGATTTATAAGAAGGCCCAAAAACAGTGAAAGATTATTTTGAGATAAATTTGAGAACAGAAGTGGAAAAAGAATAATTTGGGACGCAAGTAAGGCCGTGATGCGAGGTTTCCTAATACAACAGAACTCCATAAAAAGGAAAAATCAAAATGAAAGGAAAGGAAAAATTCTGGAAAAAATAAAAGAAGGTGAAAAGAAATTGAGGTCTAAACCAAAGTCTCATGAGATTCTGAAAGAAATAAAGTACTATCAGGTGCAATATATGGAATTGATGAATCAAGAGATAGAATGGAAAATAAAGCAAATGAGACAAAAGACATTTGAATCAGCAGATAAATGTGGGAAATTTCTGTCATGGCAATTGAAAAAGAGGCAAAAATTGAACACTGTGACAAGTTTAGAAGTGGACGGAAAGATTATCCACAAACCAAATGAGATAAGTAATTGTTTTCAAGGTTATTTCAGGAAATTATATGCACAAGGGCCAGTTAATGAACAGGAAATAGAAGAATTTGTTAAGAAACATGGATTACCAAAAATTTCAGAGCAAAGCAGAAGGATTTTGAATGAGAAAATAACAGGACAAGAAATAGAGGGTGCCATTCAGAAGATGCAATTGGGAAAAGCTCCAGGACCAGATGGTTTGACCGCCAGATACTATAAAGTGTTGAAGGAATGGTTAGTACAACCACTGAAGGAAGTATGTAACGAAATTTTGGAGGGGAAAAAGGCACCAGAGTCGTGGAAAGAAGCTTTTATCTCACTTATACCGAAAACTGAGACTGAAAAGAACCAGGTTAAAAACTACCGCCCTATATCATTACTTAATGTGGATTACAAAATTTTTACGGACATTATGGCAAAAAGACTGAAGAGAGTGTTGGTAGGGGAGATTCATAAAGACCAAACTGGCTTTCTTCCAGGGAGATATATGTCGGACAATGTGAGGAACATTATAGACATTTTGGAACTGTTAGAAGTGGACATTAATAGGAAGGCTGTTTTAATTTTTGTGGACGCGGAGAAAGCCTTTGACAATATTGGTTGGAGTTTTATGAAGAAGAATCTCCAAGGGATGGGGGTAGGTCAAGGGTTTGAAAATGGTATAGGTGCAATATACTCTAAACAAAAAGCAAAGTTAATTGTAAACAATGTGGTAACGGAAGAAATACCTATAGAAAAAGGTACACGACAGGGGTGCCCAATATCCCCTCTATTGTTTATATTAGTCCTGGAGGTTTTGTTAAATATGATTAGAGGAGACCAGTTGGTTAAAGGAGTACAAGTCGGAGCCAAACAGTACAAGTTAAGGGCATTTGCAGATGACCTAGTATTGACCTTGCAACAGCCAGATACTAGTACTAAAAGAGTATTAGAACTAATTGAGATATTTGGTCAAGTAGCAGGATTTAAACTGAACAAACAGAAAACGAAAGTGTTGGATAAAAATTTAACATTGGCCGAAAAGAGAAGTTTCAGAATGAAACAGGACTAGTGATAACGAAAAAGTAAAGTACCTGGGGGTAAACTTAACATCTAAGAATGTGAATTTATTTAAGGACAATTATGATAAATGTTGGACAGAGGTAAAGAAGGATCTAGAAATATGGTCAAGGTTGAAACTTTCTTTGTTAGGCCGAATTGCTGTTATCAAGATGAATGTATTGCCTAGAATGTTGTTTTTATTTCAGACATTGCAGATTTTGGACAAGATGGACTGTTTCAAGAAGTGGCAGAAAGATATATCTAAATTTGTCTGGCAGGGCAAAAAGCCCAGAATAAAATTTAAGAATCTAACTGATGCTAAAGATAGAGGGGGGTTTGCCCTGCCGGACTTAAGACTCTACTATGAATCGGCGGCTTTCTGCTGGTTGAAACAGTGGCTACTTCTTGAGAATACAGATATTTTGGATCTAGAAGGGTTTGATAATAGATTTGGTTGGCATGCATATATATGGTATGATAAGGTAAAACAGCATAAAGGTTTCAAAAACCATATTGTTAGGAAAGCATTATACAATGTTTGGATGCGGTATAAAGATCTATTGGAAAGTAAAACTCCCAGGTGGTTGTCACCAATGGAAGCTAAAGAGGTGAAAAACTTAATATGGAGTCTAAATGGCCAAAATATTGTGAAATTCTAGAACAAGATGGGGAAAAAGTTAAATTACAGAGCTATGAGAAATTAAAGTCCAAAGTGCGAGATTGGTTGCACTACCTTCAGATAAACGAGACATTTAAACAGGACAGGAAAATAGGTTTCCAGATGGAGAGGTCAAAATTGGAAACAGAACTGTTAGAACCCAATACTAAGAATCTGTCGAGAATGTATAATCTGCTGTTGAAATGGAACACACAGGATGAAACGGTGAAATCAGCTATGATAAAATGGGCACAAGATATCGGTCATAACATTATGTTTGCTGACTGGGAACAGTTGTGGACCACCGGTATTAAATTTACGGCATGTAATGCCTTAAGAGAAAACATTATGAAAATGATGTATAGGTGGTACATGACCCCAGTCAAGCTTGCAAAAATTTATCATCTGCCCAATAACAAATGTTGGAAATGTAATGAGACTGAAGGTACTTTTTATCACCTTTGGTGGACCTGCCCGAGGATAAAAGCTTTTTGGGAAATGATCTATAATGAAATTAAGAAGGTTCTTAAATGGACCTTCCCTAAAAAACCAGAGGCTTTTCTCTTGGGCATTGTCGGCCAATTGGTGAGAAGGAAGGACAGGACGTTTTTTATGTATGCGACAACAGCAGCAAGGATTCTTCTAGCAAAGTATTGGAAGACACAACAACTACCCACACTGGAAGAATGGCAGACGAAGGTGATCGACTATATGGGACTGGCCGAATTGACTGGCAGAATCCGTGACCAGGGGAAAGAGACAGTGGAAGAAGATTGGAAGAAATTTAAAGTTTATCTTAGAACTTGTTGTAAAATTCAGGAATGTTAAAATGTCAAGGGGTTGGGAAACAGAGAACTGCAGCTGTAATTAATAATATTAGAAGAACTTAAAAGAAATTGAATTGAATAATTAGTTGATTGAGGAGTTGCTGAAGAAATATAAAACAAGGATGCAGAAAAGGGGAGGTATGGGGAAGTCCGGAAAGTAAGGTTTATGAAAAATGGCTATGAAATTATACATGTTTATATGTTTGTATGTCGGTGTTTTGTGTATTGTTTGCTTTCTTATCTTATGTTTGGAAAATTAATAAAAATTTATTTAAAAAAAAAAAAAAAA